AAAGGGAGCCACGTGTCACGGTCACTGCACGGCGCTGGCCGGGCCGGGGGGCCCTTCCCAGGCACATCCCTAAATCCGGGGTGCAGGGGGAGCAGGGTGGGGAAAGGCTTTGGGTGGCTGAGTGGGCGCTGCTGTCACGGAGGTGTTTAGCACCGAGGGACCCCAGCCAGGCGTCCTGCTGCTTGGCCCCGGCCCCCCCAGCTGCCTCCGGCCCCACCGCCCTGCCCGAGGGCCTGGGGGAGGTTTGGCCCTGGGTTTCGGGAGCTACCTGGAACCCACCGGCCCTGCCTCGGGGGTGGCTGGTGATGCTGCGTGGGGCTGCTGGCATGGCGAGGGACACGGGTGGGGTCCTTCCCCCTTCTGCCACCAAATGGGACACTGGGGGGCACAGGATGCTTGGAGAAGGCCTGGGAATGGGGATAAGGACAGGGATGGGGCAGATGCAGCTTCGTGCCCCACCACACTGCTCTGCCCTGCAGGGGACCACTGGGGGCTCCCCCCGCCCTGTTCCAGGCCCTGTGCACAGCGATGGAGGAGATTGGGAGCAGCCCCATCCCGGGGTGTCCCTTGGCCCCGGGGGGCACCAGGTACATGACAGCCCCATCTTGGGTTGTCCCATCCTGCAGGGCACCGGGAGCTCGGGGAGAAGGAGTGACCCGCCAGGGGGATCTCTAGCAGCCCCACACTCAAGGGGCAGCTGCTGGCCATGTCCACGCTCCCGTCCCAGCCAGTGGTGCCAAACCCAGCCGTGGTCCCTGGCACCGCAGGTAGGAACAGGCTGCAGGCAGGTGTCCCACTGCTACCGCTTCGCCCACACACCGGGGAAGGGTCTCCCACCTGCAGAGAGGCACAGGGGGACTGTGTTCCCTGTCCCTGGCTACTGCCACGCTGCAGAGGTGCTCCCAGACTCCAGGATGGCAGGAGGGAAGGCGGGACAGATGAGGGATGGGCTGAGGGGAAGGAGGGCTGAGCGGGACGGGGAGAAGCGCGTGGCGATGCTCCGTGCGAGGGAAGCAGGGTGGCTCGCCGTGACCGGGGGTCTCTGCTGCGCTGGTCCGTCCCACCAGGCAGGACACAGCGCTGGTCACGTGTAGTTTCTGGTTTATTCCTTGGGTTATATTTATATATGTATATAGGGGAGGGAGCCCTGGGTCCCCGCCACACCTGAGCCGCAGGCGGGGGGAGCAGCGAGGGGACCTCTTTGTCCCTGCCGTGCCCCAGCAGGGCTGGGCAGCAGGGCTGGGGGGCTCTGGCCGAGCAGGGGCTGGGGGTCCATCCCTGCCGCACACCGGGGGATTGCACTGAGTACAGAGAGGCGGGGGGGGCCTGCCTGCAGCCCCCTCCCCTCCAGCCCAGCGGGGTCGGGCACTGAGGGTCACCTCTCTTTGGGTGGGGATGCAGAGGGGGGTGTGCAGAAGGGCTGGGGAGTGGGAAGGGGACAGAGAGCTGGGACACAGCCCCAGGGAGGGCAGAGGGAGGGAGAGAGCCCCGGACCCCAGGAGAGGCTGGCAGGGGCATGCGGGCGGGCGGGGCGGGGGGCAAGGGGACGGGGCAGAACCGGGCTTGCGTTCACCCGCCGTCGGATCCACGAAAGGTCTAAGATAGAAAAGAGAGAAGCTGTGAGCGGGGCCAAGAGCTGCCCCAGGGTGTGTCCCCGCGGCCCCCCATCACAGTGAGCTACGGCCGCGCCGTGCAGTCCGGGTAGAAAAGCGGAGGCTGCGGTCACAGCCGGGTCTGTGCCTCGGGGATGTAGATCTCGATGCTGTCCGCGCTCTCGGTGGCCGAGCTCTGGCGGAAGGACGCGGCCCTCTTGGCTGCCAGGAGCCGCTTGCGGGCCTCCTGCCGCTGCCGGTCCACCGAGTCCAGGGAGCGCTCCTTCACCGGGTGCACCTTGGAGCGCGGCGGCTTCTTTGGTATCGGGGGAGGCACCTTCTTCTCCTCCTGCGCAGACAACACGGGCTTCAGGCTGGCACCTGCCAGGACTGGGCATCCCCAGCAGGCCTGGCACAGCCAGTGCCAGTGCACAGCAGTGCCGTGGGTGCCAAGGCCGTGGTGAGGGGCCCCACAGACCCTCCCAAGTTGCACCCAAGTTGCAAGGCAGGACTGCAAGGAGGAGGAGGGAGGGAGAAGCGACGGGGTGGGTGCCAGTGGCAGAGCCCTGCCCTTACCTTGGGCTCCACAATCTTCCACCCGTTGGCCTTGAGCTGCTGGAGCTCTGCGAACTTCATGCTGACGTCCTCAATGGAGAGCTGCAGGAGGTCCCAGAATCCGGCCAGGTCTTGGAAGGTGGGCACAGGGAATGCGTTGGGATCCTGTGGAGACAGAGGGACATAGTCTCATCCACGTCCACCTGTGGGACATCAAGGCTGGCTGTGTGGCCATCCCATCCCCTAGTGCTGGGAGGAGCTCTCTGTCCATCTCTCCTCCATGGTGGTACAAAATCTGTTTTCCACTGAATGAGATCCCCCACCCTCCACGGCTGACCCCCAGCACCACTGCCCACACTCACCATGTTCTGCTGGCAGAGGCGGTAGAACTGCTGCACCTTCTGGGACATGAGGAGCTGGGCACTGCCCACCGCGCTCCGGATCTTCTCCAGGACTGGGGGGGAGAGCAGACACTCAGCACTCCCAGGGGGCACAGAGACTCTCCCCTGTGCACTGGGGTAGTGGGACAGCACCAGCAGCTCAGACCCCTCCAACCCATGCCATGTCTCCTCCCTCCTCCAGACCCCTCTAGCCCCAGAGGGTTTCCCCACGTGTCCTGCCCTCACCCAACCTCTTCATCCATGGCAGGGGAGATGTGACTGTGCTCCCCAGCTCTACAGAACCCCCAGTCCCTCTCAGTCCTGCAGCCCCCTGACTCACTCTCCTCGGGCAGGTCATAGTCCTCTGCCTCCCTCTCCATCTGCTGGCACCAGCCCTCCATCTTCTCCACCTCCGCCTGCAGCAGTTTGATGAACCACTCTCCGTCGCGGTGGCAGGGGGAGGCGCGGCCGGAGTCGGGGAGGCTGCGGGAGCCCTGCTCGATCCAGGCGTCCCGCCGGGGCACCTCCACCGTGTCGTACTGCAGCTGGTAATCCTCCCGGTACGCCCACTGCCCCTGCGTGTGCACCGTCTTGTACACGGCGTACTGCCGGCCCGACTCGGGCTCCGAGGAGTGCCGCTGGAACGGCCGCCCGAACTGCAGGGCCTTGTCCTCGGTGGCCACGGCCAGGCCGGTGAAGCCCTCCAGCTCCAGGTCCGCCTGCACGCCCGCCGTCACGCTGTTGGAGCGCTTGAAGCGCGCCCGCCTGCGGAGAGCGACACTGGGTGGGGACCCTCACGGCCATGGGGGACCCTCACGGCCACAGGGGATGTCCCTGCTGTCCCATTTTCCCCCCTGGGTACTGTGGTGGGCAGGAGCAGGGTGAGGGATGCCCACAGGCAGGATGGGGCTGGGGATGCCTGTCTGGATCCCGGAGCACTCGAGGGCCCCTGGGGACAACCTGGAGCAGCTGCAACCCGCCAGTCCCTCATCTCCCCTGCTCTTAGCCCGTTTCCATGGCTACCGGCGCTGGACCGAGGATGGAGAGGAGCCTGCACGGGCTGCGTGGGCACGATGCCTGAGCTCCGCTCCCGCAGGCCATGCAGGTCCTGGCACACCTGGCATTCCTACCCCGGCCAAAATGTCATGGTTAGCTGCAGAAACGCCCAAAGGTTCATCTGCACCTGGCCCAGGCTCAAAACCCACGGCCGAGCCCTAAAGAGGAGACCTGGCACAAGGTGGGAACAGGGCAGACCCTTCCCTGGGCAGCAGCGAGGGCAAAGGGGAGGGCAGATTCTGTCTCAGATGGGGGCAGCTGGGATGGGAACAGTGCTGAGGTCTGAGGTCTCAGCCAGGGGAGAGAGGGAAAAGATGTTGTGGGGCAGTGGTGGTATGTGGAGCTCAGGGAGCCCCTGGCGACCCAGTGCCCCTGTGCAGTGAGTGTGGCAGGTCTCAGCCCAGTCCAGCCATGCGGTACCTTTTGTCCTCCTCCACCTGCACCCCGATGGAGTGGAACTCCCTCTGGCTCCGGCTCTCCGTGTCCGAGTCGGAGACGGCCTCAACCTGGCGAGGGGCAGAGGGAGAGCGCTGGAGGGCAGCCCCGGGCGCAGCAGCGAGGCTCAGCATCGCCCACGCCCCTCGAGCAGCCCACGGGGAGGAGCGGAGCCCACCTGCACGCCGATGGACGGGCGCCACTTCCGCTGCCTCGCCAAGCTCCGCAGCTCCTCCCGGCCGGGAATGGCCTTGATGATGAGGGTGGAGGGCTTGGGAGCGGCGCGGGGCTGCACCGGGGGCAGGTCCAGGGCCACGGCCGTCACCTTGGAGCTCTCCAGGCTCTCGGCAGAGTTGCAGCGGGCCGTGGCGTCTTTGGACCAGGCGGGGCCGCGGGAAACTTCGCTGGGCAGGTAACTCTCGTGGGTGGACTCGGTGCTGCTCTGCGCCGTGACAGAGATGAGGGGTTTGGCTTTGGTTCCTGGAGGGATGGGAGGTGGAGCTTTTCTGTAACTGAAGGCTGTTGTGGGAGAGGCGCAGGATGAAAAGGCACGTGAAAACACAGACACTTGCTCATTTTCCGCCACAAACAGGGGCCCCGGGGAATGGTGCCCACCTCCTCCCACCGCACAGGGCTCTCGGCCCCACAGGGTTTGCCCCTCAGCTGGCTGAGATCCAGGCTGGAGCTCAGAGGGGCTGTTTGGCCACTTTTTGGGATCAGAAACCACCCCAGACCCATGCTGGCCACACTGCTGCAGCATCCCAGAGGTGGGAACAGAAATGGAGGGAAGGAGGGGATGGTAAATGGGTGCTGGGGACACTGAGCAGCCCCCTGACTGGGACCAAGCCACGAGCAGGATGCTCACGCCCTGTGCCATGGGCTGCAGGGGACCAGGGAGCGGGGGGGCAGCAGCAGCCCTTGGCAGGTGCCCAGGTAAGCAGGCGGGGAGATGTGGGGGTCCCTCACATGGCCGAGCCCACACCACCCCCCGGGACTCACAAGTGCTGGGCTTCAGGATGCTGCTGGTGATGGGCGGCCCGGGGGGGGCCGACATGGAGAAGAGCGAGAGGCATTCGTCATCCTGGGAGCATCCCGCCTGGATGGCCCGCAGGTAGCTGTGGCTCCGCATGCGGAAGCAGCCGGGCAGGTCCAGCGCCTCCACGGCCTGCGACTCCACCTCGCCGAAAACCGACTCGCACACGGCCTCAAACTGGTGGTTGAGCTCGTCGTTGATCTGGGGAGAGCGGCAGGTGAGGCTGGGGGTGGCGAGCCGGGGCAGGAGGTGCTCAGAGGGGCATCCACCACCCTGCTGCCCCATCCTGCCCCGCGGCACCCGCGCCACGGGACCTACCTGGCCGGTGGTGAAGGAGCGCCCGTAGCTCTGTCCCCGCGGGAGCATTCGCGGTGGCGTGCAGCAGCTGGGACAGTTACAGATATATGAATCAGAATAGTGCCTACTTGCAAACCTAATGAGAGACAGTGGGAATAGAAGGGATGGCACCAAAAGCAAGATGTTCCAGCAGAGCACTTGGAAACGCAGCTGCAGAGATGCTCCCGCCGGCCACCGCTGCTGTCCCCGCTCCTACCTGCCCCAAAAACTGTCACCCAGTGAGCCCAGAGCGCATCCCAGCCATCCCCCTTTCAACATGCCTCTTCTCCCCACACTCTGCACGTGGCTGCAGCAGCAGGCCCCCCTCCGAATGCCAGCACAGCCGTGTCCCCCACAGTGCCCTGACAGCGCAGACAGGGCTCAGTGTTGCCACACTGGGGAGCGTGGCCGTGAGCGGGGACGGTGCCGTGAGCAGGGATGATGATGCCACTCATCCTCCCGGGGAGCCCCAGCCTGTGGCCCTGCTGCTGCCCGCAGTGCTGGGACGGGGCTGGGAGGCGACAGCCCTTACTTGGTCCTGGCCTGGTCGGCGCTGGAGGAGCGGCGGTAGCTGTCTCGCCGCGTGGCCGCCCTGGGCAGCACTTTGGCGCTGATGTCGGAGTCAGCGCTGTCCTCGTCGCCCATGGCCTTGATGTAGCTGCCGCTGCGCATCCGCCGGCACGGGATCTCCCCGTCCTTGCCCGCTGGGTACCCGCTCCACTCGTCCTGTGGCACCTGGAGCAGGAGGCGAGCGTGGGAGGAGGCGGTGGCCGGGGTCCCGCAGGCGGGACACAGAGCCGAGCCACGTGCCAGCCCACGCCCATCCCAAATCCAGCACATGTGCCCAGCTCCTGTGCCCTCCCCACACACCCCAGCGCTGCAGGGACAGACCCCGGGGGCTCTGACCCCCTGGTAAGGCCCCTAAATCCAGGAGAGGTGATCCCTCCTGAGAGCCACAGCTCCCCGTTCCCAAAACGCGAGGCAGCGCCGCAGCTCCCACCTCACGGCCCCTCTGGCGGGAGCGTCTGGGCCAAATCCCACCCATGCCAGCGCAGCGCCCGCCTGACGTAGCAGGCACCAGTCCCGCCACGTGAGCTGACGCCAGCACCACCAGCACCACGGGGTCCTTACCGGGCTGTGACAGGGGGACGGTGTCCCCCGGGGCGGGCAGGGAGGGTGGTGGGGCCGTCACCCTGCCCCGGTGCCCCCGCTGCCAGCAGAGATGGGCCCCGGCCACCCCCACCCCCAGCCCACACGGCATTGCTGCTCCCTGTCTCCTTCCCCCGGGAAAGGGAGACAAGAGTTAATTAGTTTTTAATTGGAAGGGGGGTGACCTAGAAGGGTGACAAGGCAGGCGGTGGCACTCAGCCAGGCGCACAGGCAAGATAAAAGCCATGAGGAGCGAGTGGGTGCAGGGTTGCTGGTGGCCCCAAGCTGACAGAGCTGGTCTGACCCCAAATCCAGCTTGCACGGGGCAGGAGGCAGCACAATGGGCTTCGAGGGGACAGCGGGGACCGGCGCAGGACCCTGGGGGACGGGACACAGGCGCCGGGGACACGGAGCAGAGCTGGAGCATCCCCGCAGCATCCCGAGCTTCTGGATGGAGGGTCCCAGCCCCAGCTCGCCCCAAGGCACCATCAGCCACAGTCCCCTCACCCTGCCTGGCCCCTCACCTGCAGGTACTGGTATGCTCGGTCTTTGGCCTTTGCTTCCTGAAGCATCAAGGTCTTCTCGGTGCCACCAGCGCTGGGATAGGCTTCCCGGGCCTGGCTGACGGTCATGGTGTGCCAGGCGCTCCTCTTGAGCGTCTGGCCGTCCAGAGACATGGACATGCCGGCGCAGGCCAGGCATTTTCCTTCCCCGCCGCCCTTTAGACTCTTCAAGGTCAAGTCTCTGAAGGCACTTTCGGGAGCGTCCACGCAGTACTGGGTGCCCTGGTCGGCGGCGTGCCGGCCAGACACCATGTAGCTGCTGTCGCTGTCCAGGTTGTCGTCGGAGCTCCACCAGCCCAGCATCTTGGACCGGTGCCGGGAGTCCACCTTGCGGTCCTTGCTCTTGCTGCGCTTGCCGTGGCGGGACTGGTGGTGGTGGTGGTGATGGTGGTGGTGGTGGTGGTGGTGGTAGCCGTCCCCGCGGCCGTCCATCTTGGCGCCGTTGTAGTCCCGCTTGGCCGGCGCCTCCAGGGAGTGGGACTTGGCGAAGAGCTTCTGGACGGAGTGGACGAGGTGGCGGATGCGGCTGGGGCTCTCGCTGCGGGGCTCGGCGCCGCCGGCCCGCGGGTACTGCAGCGTGTGGAAGCCGTCGTGGTGCAGCGGCAGCTGCTTCTCGAACTGGTCCAGCAGCGTGGGGGGCAGGCGGTTGATCTTGCTGGCGGGGTGGGCGGTCGCCATGCATTCGTCGCAGGAGTCGTAGGGCTGCTGCGCGTGGTGCATCCTCGGGAAGGTGCTGCTGGCGCTGGCGGAGGGCGGCTCGCTCAGGGGCCCGCCCGGGCACTCGCTGGCCGCGCCGGGGCTCCGCGCCGGGCAGTAGGGATGCTCCAGGGAACACGGCTCGCTGGGGCTGAGCAGGTAGGGCGGCCGGCCCTCGGGGCCGTGCGGGATGTAGTCGGCGGGACGCTCGCAGTCCTCGGGGATGCAGCGGCAGCGGTGGCCGGAGGAGGGCTGTGTCTGGCTACGCTCCCCATGGTAGCCCTTCATGGTGTCAGCATCCTGCCCGTAGCCTCGGCATCCTGCAGGGATGGCCCTGCAGGCTCATCTGTGGGGACAGGGACAGGCACAGCGTGAAGCTCCCCTCGGCACCTCACCACCAGCAAAACATCGGGGCTGGCCCAAAGGAATGAACTGAGGGGACTGGGAAGCTCCCAGGGTGGGATTCGGCCCTGGCTGAGCCTCTGTGAAGTGCCAGAAGGGGGGACACGGTGCTGGGGCTCGGCACCCAAGCACCCCCATCTCAGCTGCTTGGAGGGGACAGGGGTAAGGAGCAGGCACTGCCGGCAGCGATGCAGGCAGCAGGGCCTGCAGACGGTGAGGAAGGACACGCTGCCATCAGCATATCCTTGTTTTCTTCTCCAACACCAAATATTATGAAGTGTTTCTCCATTAGGAAAAGGGTTCTGGCTGAGTTTTTCAGCCGCTGCGATTCACAGCCCCGCTAATGAGCTGCCGCGGGGCGGGGGGGGGGCCGCGCTCTGATGGCTCCATCCAGCCCTTCCTCCCCTCGTGGAGCACCCAAATGGAGACCCACAACCCTGACCCCCCCTGCCTGCCACACCCCCGGGCAGGGGGCCAGCAGCAGAGGTAGCTGTGCTGTGTGTGGGGCAGCCCCACACTGAAACAGGAGGAGGGATGGCATCGAGCCAGGCTGAGCCCGTGCCAGCCGCCGGAGCCGCCTGCACCCATGGAGGTTTGTGTTCCTTACGGTCCCTCAAAGGCTCTGCCTTTGGTTTGACTGTAAATGAGGAAATTACTTATTCTCCAGAGCATCTCGGCTAATTAACAGGCATCGTTAGTGCTCTTGTTATCATATTTGGGCAGGGTGCTGTGGGCAGCACGTCTCCGAGACTGGCTGCGGGGCAAGGTGACTGTGGGACGTTCCCTGCAGCACATGGGGTGTGTTGGACCACAGGGACTGGAAATGAGGGACACTGGGAGGGTCAGGGCAGTGTGGGAGGGGGTTGTGTGCCCTGAGGAGCCCCGGAGGACAGAGCAGCTGAGGGTCCCCAGCGGGTGTGGGGATGAACAATGATGGCACGTTGGCCGTGAAGGGCAGACAGGGCCCTACTAAGCCACTGCCACCACCTTCCTTCCCAGCTCCGGGGCTGGATGCTCCATCCTGCACCGCTCCCCACCCTCACCATTGTGCTCCTGCTCTAACGAGGCTCCCTAATTGCTGTGTCTGAAGGGAAGGAGGCTGCAGCTACTATAGAAGAGGCCTCCCCCCTCCCGGGAGAGCTGCTGCGAGGAGCGGGAGCAGCAGGGTGGGATGGAGCTGCCTCCCTGCCCGGGGGGATCCAGCAGCAAGATGGACGGATGGACAGACAGACAGACAGACAGACAGACAGGCTCCCAGCCCGGCCCTGCCTCCGCCAGCTGAGCTATCATCTCCCGCTCGGGGAGGGAACTCTCAGCTGATCCAAATATTGCTGCTGCAGCGGGAAGAAGGAGTCAAAATATCCGCGGAGCCCGTCACCACGAGCCTGCCGGGCTTTTGTGCTCGGCAGGTGCAGGAATTCAGCAGCGCCGGAACCCGCCGGAGAGGCAGCGCCGCCGCTCCCCCGCAGCTGCCGAGCCATGGCAGCAGATGGGGCCGTGCCACGGCGAGGGATGCACTTCCCGGCTCACCAGAGCCATGCCAGCACCTGTGTCCTGCCCAGTGGGCACCCTGAGGGTGGGGAAGGGCTCAGGAGAGATCCTGAGGGGCTCAGCACAGCCTGGGATCCTCGTCCCTATGTCCCAGCGGGGATGGCCACACACACAGGATGGGAGAAGATGCTGAGCCTGCTCCTCTGCTCTGTGCCAGGTGGGCACTGTGGGCAGGAGGCTGGCACATGGAGCTGGGGGAGCTGGACTGAGCTTGGCTCATGGGCTGAGGGCTGAGAGCTGGAGCCATGTCCCACCAAAGGCCGTTCCACTGCTCAGCCCTTGGGATAGAAGGATTTGTGCCACCAAACCACAGACTCAAATCAGGGGGGGAAAAACCCAGCCCGGCTGAATTTTGTGCCATTTAACACCGGGGTAATTACCACCAGTGGGAACCTACCGCCCACACAATTATGTGTTAGGATAAACTGGAAGAGCATAATTACCATTACAAATAACTCACTCCTTGCCTTTATTGCTTCCAGAGCCTCGAGAAACTCCCACCGGCCACTCCTCATTGCCACCCTCCCTCTGAAATGTCTCCCTGCCCGAGGGTCAGCACAGGGAGGAGAGGGACTTGTAGTCCCCTGTGCTCTGAGCCACCCCAAAATTCATCCCCCTGCTTAATTTCCCATAGGAGCACTTGGCAGAGGCGGTTCCACTTCCCAGCATCCGCCCCATGAGATCCCTGCCTTGGAGACAGCTCCGTGCCAAGGCCCAGGGCTGTGGGGATTCAGGGCAGCCCCAGCAGGAGCCTGAGCTTCCCTGGGACCCTGTGTCACCCAGGCTCTGTCCAGCTCTGGGAGCACCAGTGGGGAGGTGACAGGACAGCAAATCCCCGGCACCATTGCCTGACGCAGGGCAAGAAGGGGTTTGCCAAGATTTCCGGGGCAAACCCCGAGAGCTGGGGTTGATGGCCCCACACTCGGGGGGTCCTGGCCCCCCTGCCCTTCCCAAGCAGCCCCTGGCAGGGGCAGCAGGTGGGGGGTCGTGGCCCGTCACTCACCGCCCGGCGCTCAGGGGGATGCTGTCCTCATGGCCCCGGCCGGCAGCGGCTCCTCCACGCTGGGTGTCCCGGGGGCAGCAGGCTCTGCGGGAGGAACACGAGGGGGATGAAGCCCAGGGAGGAAGAGCCGGGATGTCCCTCCCCAGGACCAGCCTGACCCACCTCCCTGTGTGTTCTTTATCGGCCCAGCCTTCCCTCCTCCCCCGAGGCCGCCCCACACCAGCGCCGCCTGCACCAGCGGTGACAGGGACAGCTCTGCACGGCCACGGCCACGTGTTTCACCCAGTTTAGCCCAAAAACCATCCCCAGCCCCATCCTGTTATGCAATTCCCTGCCAGCGGGTGCCCGAGCCGGCCCAGCGGCCACCTCGCCATCGACTTTGATTTGCTCCAGATCCAGCCTCACATTCCACAAAGCCTCCTCCCGCCGCCCCGGCCTTCCAGCGTCAGCAAAGGGACTTTTTTCCCAGCCTCCAGCCCAGGAGAGGTGCGAGCTCGGCCCGTTCTGCTCGGTAAATTAGCGCCAGGTTCTGCCAGCACAGGTCCTGCTGGGGACCTTTGTGGCTTGGGATGAAAGCAGGAGAGAACAAACACGCAGCTTGAGCGCCCGGCACCACGAGCTGGAGACTGGGAAAAAAAAAAAAATAAAATAAAGTGCTTTTCCCACTTAGGGGCTGAACAAATTTGATCTACGGTCGTCGGAAGAAAATAAATATGGAATACCGCCAGGTCGCTTTCCACCGCGCTTTTAATCTATTTACTCTTTCCCAATTCATTGTAAGTGAGCAGGATTGTGGAAAGCAAACATTTTATTTTATTACTAATTGCTCTGTTATTTTATGAGGCTGAATTAGTAAAATTTACTCAGCCTGGAGGAAAAGAAAAGTGGGGCTTAGTAAGAGATCAGCTAATTTAGCACAGAAAGGGGAAAGGAAAGGGGAAGGGGGAAGGGGAAGGGAAAAGAGAAAAGAAGAAAGGGAAAGAGGAAAGGAGTGTGAGCAAGATGCAAATGTCACAGCAAACGTGCTCGATGCAGTCAGGAAATCAAACCCAGTTACTGTTAATAAAAGCAAACAGAGTGGCTGCAGGCGGGCACTGCCCACAGAGGGCTCTGAGGGGCAGGATCCAACTGGGCACTGCTGGAAAAAAGGGATGAGGCAAGATTTTTAAAAAGTCATGAAAGACAAACAGCAGCTGAAGAATTGCCAGTGTGAGGGGAGGCAGAAGTGTTTACCGTGGCCTCTGAGAAGGGCTGGCAGCACTGTGCTGCCCAGCACCCCGACAGAGCTGGGGGCTCTGGCACCCCGAGTCAGGGCATCTCCTCTGGCTCAGCCCTGCCCTGGCACATCCCTCCTCACTGAGCACAGCTGCTTCCCAGCACCAAACCCGAACCCACGGTGCCCCAGGGCTCCAGCCCGGTGTGGCCGCCCCATTCGGCACGTTGGGAGGCCGAGGACAGGCCGTTCGACGGGCCGGGCACGTTATTAAGCACATGATTAATTTTGGCACCAGCCCCAGCTGCCTGACAGCTCCTTCTCAGGGCTGGGAGAGCGAGCGCGAGAGGTGCTGCCTCTGCTGATGCAGCGGTTGGTGGGATGAGAAATCCTGCAATGCAGCACTGCTTCTTAATGAGCCATTTGTCTTTGAGTCTTCTTCACTCATTACCATGCCGGGAGAGGGATGGGAGTTGCCCCAAGTCCCCATCTGAGCAATTACTCGTGGAGCAGAGCGAGGAAATACGGCCACGGCGTGCCCAGCTGTCAGGGATCCCAACCCAGGCACTGGGACTCCCCAGCACAACACCAGTGCCTCTGGCTGCTGCCACCACGGGGGGAGCAGGACCCCCCTGCCCTGCACAGCACACACAGCCCAGAGCCACCCAGCTGGACACCCTGGTCCCCAGAGCCCCTGGGACAGGAGCCACGCTGCTGTGACAGGGGGTGTGAGGGAGCCGGAGCATCCTGGAGCTGGCAAGGCAAAGGCAGCAGAAGTTGGCTGAGAAGGAAAGAGGTGGCACAGGGAATGGGCCATGGCAGCGTCCCTGTGTGGGTGCAGGCAGGGAGGGGTGAGATGCCCCACGGCACAGGCACCTCCAGCCCCCTCAGTCCCACAGGGATGCTCATCCTGCCCACGGGAGCCAGGACACGGCACACAGGGAGCCAGAGGTGGGACCCCATGGCCAGAGCAGCAGCAGAGCAGCTGACTGAGTCAGAAAACCACACTGGAGGGACCCCCAGGCCAGGAGGGGCCCTGGGGACCCCCGGCCATGCCAGCTGGCACAGGGTTCGTGGGCGCTGCGCCGCACGGATGAGCACCATCACCGGTGATGCCCACGGACAGCTCCCCTCCCATGGACACACTCGACAGCTGCCCACACTGCCTGGGGCAGCAGCAGCTGGCACGGTGCTCTGGTGCCCTCCAGGGCTGGGTGGAAAGAGGGGACGTGCAGGTGACCCCGGGGAGCCTGGCAGGACGGGGAGCCCAACAGCCTGGTGCTCACCTGCAGCAAAGGGAAGGGACAAACAGGGACACCCTCCAAAGCCTCTTTGGTGAGCTGGGGGCAGCACGGCCTTAGCGCTGAGTGTGACAGTGGTGACAATCTCTGGCCGTCCCCTGCCCATCCCTGCTGAGCCCCCAGGGTGGGCTGGCCCTTCCCTCCCCAGTCTGCACCCCCCCAGGCCGTGCCAGGGCTCTCAGCTGCTGCCAGCACTGCTCCTCATCCTGCTCTCCCCAGCACGTGGTGCCTTCCTCTCCAACCTCAAATAACACCCATCCCAACCGGTTCCCTTCACAGCACCATCCCATCCCATGGTTCTTCCCGCAGCGAGGCTGCAGGAGCCGGGGTTTCCAGGAACAGCCAGGAAGCGGTGGCAGCCCTGTGGCATCCAGGGTGCTCCGGGCCATCAGTCCCATTCCCAGGCTGAATCCCCTGGGGCCAGGGCTGGGATGAGCACAGCCAGCCCGAGGTGTGGCACAGCCCAGCTCGCCAGTGAGCAGAGGACCCAAACTGCCGCCTTAATGGATGGGCTTAATTTGCAAAGCTGATGAAAACCTAAATATTTAAATACATAATTCTGCACAAATGCTCTTAGCGCGGGGATGGAGCGAGGCGGGGGGGCGCGGCTGGCGGGTGAGGACATGGCAGGGATTGGGACACTCTGGCAGGACCACGTGGATCACCTGGGCACTGGCACCCCCATCACACACAACCTCAGCCCTGCAGGCTGCAGCACCCACGGAGCAGGTGCCGTGGGCTGCCCTACGAGGGGTGCTCTGCCTCAGGCATCCCAGTCCTTCTCCACCATCAGAAGTGTCCCATGGGGAGACGTGGGGATGAGGGAGCGTGGTCCAAGCCTGGGAGCTGTGAAGGGCAGCAGGATGGGCCCCCGTGGAGATTACACCACCGACATTCCTGCTACAACAGCTTAGAGATAAAAGAGATTTGCAGGATTTACCAGCAATACAAATGGAATACTTAATTTTAGCTGCAGGGGAGGAGTGGGGGCTCGACCTGGGGGCATGTGGAGGTGGGCCCGGGGCTGTCCTGCCTTTGGGGAGGCATTCCCAGCTCTTGGGAGAAAACTGATTCCAGGGCTGTCCCTGGGGGCTGGGGGGGCCAGGCTGCGCCATGGCAGTGGGACGGGGGTGCCCAACCTGCCCCTAATCCCACCAGCCCCTCTCCTGCCCTGCGCAACCTCTGCCAGCACGTGGGAGCTCCTGCAGGATCATCCCTGGATGAGCCACGTGTGTGGCCCCAGTGCCAGGGATGCTTTGGGGGGACTCAGGAGGGGCCCTGGCCCCGCACACCGTCCATGGGCCAGCCCTGAGCCGATGTGGGGCTTCCTCACCGTGCTCCCCTCTGCCCTGACAAGTGTGTCCCCAGCAAGGCTGTTCCTGGGCAGGGATGTGCCTGGCTGAGGCCATTTGCCAGCCAGGGGAGGGACTGTGCAGGGAAAGGGGCTGGAGGCAGCAGGGGCCAGCCCCGAGCCCAGCATGGGGGTCCCCACAGTGTCCCTGGGCCAGGTGCCCGTCCTGCCTCACCACTGGCGCAGGTGCCGCTGCGGGGCGGGCTGGGGGAGGATGGCAGAAGATGAATGAGGGAGTCGGGAGGCTAATGGCATTGTCTGGAAAGTAGGTCGTGTGCTGAGCAAAAAGATATTTATATCAAAGCTCGTTCCCCCGCAGAAGCTCCCGAGCCGGGTGCAGGCAGCACCACGAGCCCGTGGCCACGGCCCTGGCACCCCATGACTCCCCACATCCTCACGGCACCCCCTGCCCAGCCCCACACCCAGCTCTGCCACCCTGGGCACTCGCTGGCCCCGGGACTGCCCCGCTCAAGGGGTGGCAATGCCAGAGGTAATGTTACCCCAGCGGAACGGGAGCCACGGCAGCTCTTTGCCTTTTGCTGACCTGGCTGCAGGTGCCGGCTGGCACCGGGTTATTTTTATTTTAATGCAACCCTTGCCAAGGTGTGATAGTGCCCTGGATGCTCCTGAGATGGGCACAGTCAGCCCAGGATGCCCATGGCAGGTCCTGCTCAGCCCAGCCTGGTGTCAGCTGTGGCACCATGGCCCCTCTCCCTGCAACCAGCCCTGGCCACGTTCCTCACATCCTGCGTCACTCCTGTCCTGGGCTTCAGCCACAGCTCAGCCCTGTTGCAAAGCTCAGCCACCTCCTTCCCTGCTGGGAGGAGACCTGTGCTCCAGGCCCCCTCCCTCACACCTCCAGCCTTCCCAGAAAAGCCAAGGGATCATCCCAGTGAGCCCAGACGGAGCCAAGAGGTTTTGACCCCTCTGGCCGTGCTGCCCCAATGGCTGCAGACACAACCCAGCCACCCAGCCCCGCTCTCCTGTCCCCATCCCTGTCCCCATCCCCATCCCACACCTGGCAGCCTGGGATCTGGCACGGGAGCAGGTTCATTTCCCGTCATAGCTGTGCCGGCTGAATTTACAGCCTCGCTCCAAGTTATTAATAATAATGGCCTCGCTCTTAAGTAGGGCTTTTCATCTGCCTCGCAGCCCTTTCCAGAGGACGTCTGCAGCATTATCACCATTTTATTCTCGTTTCAGTGGGCACAAGAGTGAGATGGAGAAGGGGCAGCCGTGCCAGGCAGCCAGGCGGGGGTGTGGAGTGCATGGTCCCATGGGGAGCACAGCCACGAGCCCTCCCTTGGGAGGCTGGAATGCCGAGGCCCAGCGGAGGCTCCTGCCGGCCATGCCGTGGTGATTTACACCGGCAGCCAGCCCAGGCCCTGCCGCACGGATAAATCCACTCCAGGCAGCAATAAACCAGCGTCACCGCATCGGTAATCCCAGCGCTCCCACCGCTGGGAGAGATCCAGGGGCAACGCGCCTGTGCCGATAAATCCCGGTTCTGTGTCAGCAGGGAGGTCCCCAGGGGGGGTGTGGGGGGGGTAAATTCCCAGCAGAGCCGTGGCCGGAGGGGTGGGTGCCACTAGAAACCCACGAGAGGGTGCCAAGGGAGACCCAGGCACAGCACACCAGGCTGGGGATGGATCCAGCACATGGGATTGCAGCAGCCACGTGGGACCGGGGACATCCCCGAAACGCCCCCCACGTGTCCCCCCGTGGTGCCCACCCGCCCCGGGCACCTCCGGTGTCTCCCTGCCGTGTGCCGCAGCGGGGCTCGATGGGCAGATTTATTCCCCTGTAAAAGAGCTTTGATCCGAAGTTATTTTTTGTTTACTAGCAACAAGGTATTGTAAATACATCTTTGCCAATAATTATAGAGTCTGGGCGCACACCTTAATCTCCATAAAATATCAGATGCTACAATTTGCCTGATTTAATGAGATCGGAGGCTGATAAGCCGCTGAGGTAAGCTGTAAACCTGGGGGGGAGGAGGCAAATGATTGCAAATGTGCTAAACCACCCTCGCCCTCCTCCTCCTCCTCCTCCTGCTGCTGCTGCCACGTGCCCAGCCCGGGAGCGTGTGCCCAGAGCCGTAGCCCCCTGCCCAGCTCCCGGGGTGGGCCCGGGCTGTGCCGCAGCAGCTTCACGCAGGGATGGGCATTTAGGGCAAACGGAGCTTTTTATACAATTTACCTCATTAAAACTCCAGGAGCCGAGCGCGGCACCGGGCTGTGGCCGGGGGCTGTGCCTCGGCACACTCTGCGCCCCGTGGGCCCCGTGCCATGCTGGGGGGGGTCAGCAC